TCCCTTCCAACCGTGATATTCTATGATTCTGTGCCTGCCCTGAGGAAAACACACCGTGTAATCTGGTGCCTTTCAAAGTTTTTGTTTGTTATTTTAAAAGTGCCAACTCTTGTAAAAAGTCACCTTTATCTAAAATGCCAGAAAAGAAGCAAGATGTAAAAGTATTTTGCTCTTGAATTCTGGCTCAGCAGTTGGAGAATGTTCCTGCCTGGCGCGCTCTGCAGGCTTGGATCCTGGGTTGTTCAGTGGTACCACGTTTGGGTGTGGCATGGTGGGCTCTGTGCCACTGAGCTGTGCGAGGAAAAAGAACAACTCAAGGGGAAAGGGAAGAGCAGCTTTGCGTCTCTGGAGTGCTGCCTGCCTGCCTGCTGCTTTAGCGAGTGAATGCATGACCCAAATCCTTGCATTCAATTAACAGGTCAGAGTATCAGAGTAGCAGCCGTGTTAGTCTGTATTCGCAAAAAGAAAAGGAGTACTTGTGGCACCTTAGAGACTAACCAATTTATTTGAGCATGAGCTTTCGTGAGTAGTTTTTGCACTGACTCGTGAGTCTATGGGAATGTCAGAGAGAATTGATTTTATCGACATCTCAGAAAACTGTAGCCCAGCTGTCACTTGCCAGGAGATGCAGTTGTAGGCAGCTGTTGGCCTCACAACTGTTACAGGCAAAAGCTCTGAATTAACAACAGACTTCAATAAAAGCCAAGTGCACTTGTATTTGTACCCTCTTCTGACCCCCTTCCCCTTTCTTGGTACCTTGCATTGATAATGCTAACCTTTCAAAGCAAAGACCCTTCAGTGTCCAGTGTGCTTACCTGATCTAAGACGGGGCAGTAACAAAATGATTGATGGCTGTGTTTGTTTGCCTGGTGCAGGGAACAGCTTTTAAAAATCAGAATAAATTAATTCAGAAAACTAAAAAGAGGGAATAAAAATTCTATTTCTGGCAACTTCAGAAGGAGGATGAGAGATCCGGTACTTGGTCTTGTTATGGGGCATTTTGCAAAATCTAAACTATCCTGGATCTCCAAATAGGCGCAGAATAATTCTCTTCTTCTGGATACCCCTCAGAGTTCTGCTACCTTAACTCCAGCAAGATCTGATCTGGACTGTTCTCCCAGAATGCTTTGCAGGGATTTGGTTCTCACGGTAATACAATGAAAATATTTCCTACCTAGCCTCAGAACTCTGGCAACTGCTTCCCGGATTATGCTGTTAATGGAGTGGATGAGTGGCAACTCTGGCAGGTAGAAAAGGCCACTTTCCCCAGAAGAGAGCCGATGAGGGAGAGCGCTACCTAACGGACTTGGAAGTGAAATTTGCCCAACAAGTTAGACTGCAGTTGAATTAATTTACAGCTGGGTTGGCAAAGCAAAGACCTCCGTCCACAATGATTCTGAATCTGCAAAGAAACCAAGAATTTGAACTTGTACTTGTAGGAGGCACTTGATTGCTCCCTGCAGTGGGGAAATGGCTCCCGAGCTGAAGGACCTTCTCTTCGTGCTCACGTTAGTGCATAGGGGAGGAGGTTCTTTTGGCTAAGGCAAATAACTGGACTCCAGGAAATAGCTTTGCTGTTGACTTGTTGTGTGGTCTTGGGTCACTTATCTTATCACTTGTCATTTGGGTCACGATCACTTAAGTTGCGGTTTTCAAAGCCTACTAGGGGATTTAGCCACACAGTTCCTGTTAATATTAAATTAAAGGGGGATGTAATGCAACAGGTATGGGGGATGTCATGCAACAGGGGTTTACCAAAGGTAGATCATGCCAGACTAACCTGATTTGCTTCTTTGAAAAAAACACTTTTTTTATATAGGGGAAGTGCAGTAGATCTAATATACGTGGACTTCAGTAAAGCATTTGACACTGTGCCACACTGGAAATTACTAGTTAAGTTAGGGAAGATGGGGATCAGTACAGAATTGTTAAGCGGCTAAGGAACTGGCTAAAGGGGAAAAGGCAATGGGTTGTGCTGACTGGTGAATTATCAGACTGGAGGGAGGTTACTAGTGAAGTTTGCTAGAAAAAGTAAGAGTGAGTTAATGAAATTTGCTGATGGTACACAATTGAGAGGCTTTGTCAATACAGAGTAGTACTGTACAGGAAGATCTGGTTGATCTCGAAGGCTGGAGTGACAGAAATGGGATGAAAATTCAGTAGTTCAAAGTGCAAGGTCATACACTGGGGGTCTAATAATAAGAATTTCTGCTACAAGCTGGGGCTCATCAGTTGGAAGCAACAGAGGAGAGAGACCTGGGTGTGTGGGTTGATCACTGGGCTATTAATTAGCCACCTTTAATGATGTGGCTGTGAAAAAGGCCAGTGACATCCTAGGCTGTCTGAGATGAGGCATTTCCAGTAGAGATAGAGAGGTGTTCATGCCATTGAACAAAGTATTGGTAAGACCTCATTTGGAGTACCCTGTACAGTTGTGATCACCCATGTTCTAGAAAGATGAATTCAGACTGGAACAAGTGCAGAGAAGAGCTACTAAGATGATCAGGGGAGCGGAGGGCTTGTCTTAGGGAGGAACTGGAAGAGCCTGGCTTGTTCAGCCTAGCAAACAGAAGGCTGAGAGGGGATCTGATTGCTCTATGTAACTACATCAGGGGGTAAATACCAGGGAGGGTGAAGAGCTATTTAAGCTAAAGGACAATATTGGCACAACTACAAATGGGTATAAACCAGCCATGAACGAATTCAGACTGGAAATGAGAAGGTGTCTAACTACCAGAGAGTGAGGTTCTGGAGCAGCCTCCCAATCAGAGTTAATTAGTTTTAGGAGAGAGCGGAACAGATTTTTGATTGTGGTTGTATGACAGGGTTGGTTGTGGTGGCAGGGAGCAAGGCTCAGAAGCCCTGGGGCTCGCTTCCAGTATGTGTCTTATATTTCTGAAGAGCATGCTTCAGGGTTTCAGCTGCCTACCTGCAGGGGTTAGGAAGGGATTCTCTCCCCCGTGCGACCCCCACCCCTACCCCCCCAGTATATTCAGGGGTGGGAGTTTTCGTTTATCATCTCCCTCTGAGCCGTCAGTGCTGCCATGACCAGATATGGGACACTGGGCGGGGAGGGCAGGGCTCTGAGGTGGCCCCGAGCATTCTCTGTCTCAGGTGCTTGGCTGGCTGGTTCTTTCTCACGTGTTCAGGGTCTAACTGATCACCATGTGTGGGGTTGGGAAGGAATTTCCCCCCAGGTCAGATTGGCAGCGACCTTGGGGGGGGTTTCACCTTCCTTTCCAGCATGTGGGTTGCCTGCCAGGATTATCTGGGTCTATCTCACTTCCTCATTTCCCTGCTGTTGCGTGGGCCTCAGGTCCTGGTGCACCTCGGTCCCTCCTGTTTTATGCCTGTGGCACATAATACTCCGGTCTCCTGTGGGCTGTAATACTTTGGTCTCATTTTGGTTGTTGGATTTAGTGAGTGGTGCTGGGTGGGGATGGGTGGCCTGTGATATGCTGGAGGTCATACTAGGTCTGTGGTTCTCAACCGGTTTACCATTGTGGGTCACATATGGAGCTCTCTATGTGTTATGTGGACTGCATCCACACAATGTGTATATATACAACCTGTGTGGCCCTGAGGATATCACATAGGCTGCAGCTGTGTGCTGTTTGGGCTGCAGGTTGAGCACTACCGGACTAGGTGATCTGATGGCTCCTTCTGGCCTTGAAATCTGTGACTAACATGAATATTTGTGTGGCTAAATCTCACTAGTCGGCCTTGAAAACCTGAGCCTGACCGTCTCTGTCACCAGCATGCTGTGAGGAATTGGTCACTCATTTGAAAAGCAGGGTAGGATTTTTTGATCGAGATGCTAGATAAGTACTAGCTGGGATCTGACTGAGTTGTTCAGCTTGTCCTATGTTACCTAGAGTGTCCTGGGCAATTTTGATGATGCAGCAATGACTCATTCAGCAGGATCACAAGTACTAAATTGTTATCCTCTTATCTGTTTTCTTCTTCTCTCTCCAGCTAAACATTTCATCCTGTGAGTGTTAGCGTGGAGCTTCTTGTCTTTAATAATGCCCCTGTAGACCAGGGTGGATAAAAATTAATGGCTTTTTTAAAAAATGGATTTTTTAATTTAAACTAAATACAGATTTATTTATAGAAATCTTATGTGAAATTATGACAGCATATGTTAAGGTCTAAATTTAATTGATTAAAATCAAATAAATTACATTTAAAAACATAAGCAGTATATGTTTACTGCCAAAATTTTCAAGAAAGTCAAATCACTGAATTGATAGAAATCACGGGCTAAGCACCTACAACCAGAAAATAGTGTATTCTGCAGGTGCAGAGAGAATGTTTTCTTCATTTCAGTGTATTTAACTAGTTTAGTTCAACGATTAGTTCATTCAGAGTTAAAAACCAGTAGGAAGATGAAAAAGCAGGAAAGCTTGTTTTCCTCTTCCAGTCTATTAATAAAAACTAGGTCTGAGAGGATGAGATCTGTCGGGATCTGATATCTTGAAGGACACAGTGATAGGAAACAATCAATTTCATTTACTAACTACAAATAATACTTCCTTGAGTTAATAAATCAGTTCTAAATGCAAACCTTGTTTTGATAAACTTTTTTTCATGTATATCCAACACATTTAAGGTAGTTTTATTTCACTAATTTAAAAAATTTAAATGCTATGGGTTTTTTGCATTTTTAATTGCATTCAAATTCCTGTCTCAACAGAATTTGACACTAAGCACAAAATTAATCATCTGGTAAATAAGAAATGCATTATCCACCATTTTCTAACATCATAAAAATGTAAAAAATAATCTGCATAAATGTAAGTTAAGCTGTATAATTGCAAAACAATTAAAATGTAGGAAAATCAAGGTTTCCTGCTTGCTGATTTAAATCATGATTAAAATCAGTGATTTTAAATTGCTTTGATTTAAATCAGCCCACCCTGCTGTAGACTACAGGAACTACCCAGTAGTTGTTGGTGCAGCTTCGTTTATAACCTGGTTCTTTCGTTTTCATTCCGTAGGTCCAGCTGGGAACTTCCTGACTTGCGAGAAGGGAGAGTAAAAGCCATCAGTGACTCTGATGGTGTGAGCTACCCCTGGTATGGGAACACTACGGAAACGGTGACCTTGGTTGGGCCCACTAACAAGGTCTCCCGGTTCTCAGTCAGTATGAATGACAATTTTTACCCCAGTGTGACGTGGGCTGTCCCTGTGAGTGACAGCAATGTACCATTGCTGACCAGGATTAAGAGGGATCAAAGCTTTACCACGTGGCTAGTAGCCATGAACATGACCACCAAGGAGAAGATCATCCTGCAGACTATAAAGTGGAGGATGCGCGTGGACATTGAGGTGGATCCCTTGCAGCTCCTGGGGCAGCGAGCACGACTAGTGGGAAGGACTCAGCAGGAGCAGCCCCGGATTCTGAGCCGAATGGAACCCATCCCACCAAACGCACTAGTGAAACCCAACGCCAACGATGCCCAGGTCCTCATGTGGAGACCCAAACGAGGCCAGCCTTTGGTAGTGATACCTCCCAAGTAGATGGTGTGTGGGTGTGCGTGCTTGAGGACTTCATTCCTGTTGGTATGGTGCAAATGAACTGGATTTCTGAGCCAAAGCAGACCTCTGGTGAATGGAAATAGAGTTCCTCCTTATTCAGAAAGAATATGGTACCTGGTAGTGGCCAAAGCTATGTCACAGAAGAGGAATTGCACAGCTGGTGGACTTCCAATGACACACCTGGGAGATTCTGTACTTCCAGGTTATTTTGGCTGGAAGAGGCTTTCTTACCTGAATAACTCGTATTCCCTTGCCATAACATGCAAGGAATGAGAATATGATTAAACAGTGCCTGTGGCAAATGCTGCTTCCCAACCAATTAGATGTAGAAATGGAGACCATGCACACCAGACATTCATGGTCTTCCAGTTCGATCCTGCTGTCTGACCGATGGGGTGGGGTGTTACCACGTTTTTATACCTATGCAGTTTTGATTGATAATCAAATGATCACCTTGCTCATTGGAACTAAAAGAATGTTTACAAGGGGGGGAGGGGGAATAACAACCCATGCCATCCGTTCCACTTAGCTACAGGCCAGTTCTGAGTCCACAGGGAACTGTCCAAGGTGCTGAACTGAAGGACAATGTGAACTACCTTCCTCTTCCCAAGAATAATTTCTTCAAGCTGATTGAATTAGGACATTTTGCATGCATCTCAGTGTGTTTCGAGTAGTTGTGAATGTAGGAGCTGCCATAGTTCTTTCCATCCTTTGAGTGAAGTCCAAGGGAAATCTAGATGTAATTTAGTTCTAAGATACACTAATCTTTCCTGGCCATCCAATTCCCTCTCCCCCAAGCCCTTCTTTTAAAGAAGCAAAAATAATTCTCAGTCAAATGACAAATTATGAGCAATGTCTGTTCACCCAGCAAAGGGAGAACCAGGGAGATGTTGACTGTGTTTGCATGATATCCGAAAGACTTGGACATACTCCAGGATTCAAACACTTCCTTCACGTACATGAGTCCATTGCAAGAAGCTGGATTTCTTGCTCGTTTTCCACGTGAATAGCTGTTCATGTGGAAAGCCTCACCCTAACCGCCTACAGAGCAGCGCAACTAAAGATCTGCGCACAGTGTGCTTCCAGGCCCCAGGACCTGCCTTTGGCGCTAGGATATGGGGACTGCCTGCGTGTCCGTTCGCTGGGGCAAAGGGAAGCATTTGCACCAGCTTCAAGGGGAAGGGGTAGTTGTTCATGAAAACTCCTCAGAGGTTTCCCCTCCCACAGCGACAAAACAGTAGCTTCCGTGAAGGATGGTTAGATGTGCACGTCTCTGAGTGGAATGCTCCTCTAGCCAGGCACGAGCGCATGGCTGAATCCATCCGGGGGAGGTGGGAGGCTGTTCTCTTTGGCAATAAGCCTGAGCTTCACTCTCTGATGAGGACGTTTGGGGGGATAACATGATCTTTGCTTTTTAAGGGCCATTACCACCGGGAGTTTCTTTGGCCCCTGGCTCAATGGCATCCCAATTGGTTGCTGTGAAGGTGATTGGTGATGTCATGACTGGAGTGGGAAGAAATGCTTGGGTCATAAACTCATGGAGTTTCCTACTCGTTCTTCCTCTGGGGGTGTGATGCGCCTCTCCTCTCCCTATCCTTGCCCCGCAGCGCGTTCACCATATTAGCCTGTCTTGGAGGATATGCAGAAGACAAAGAGTGTCTGCATTCCTGCTGGCCCCTGGACAGCAGTGCTGCCTCCATGGTGGCTGCCCCAGGAACACCTTGTCAGGGAGGGGCCATAGCTTAGAGGGGGAGCCGTGCAAGGGATTACAGTCATAACTTGTGCTGTTTTCCCCCATGCACAGTGACTGGCTCTTTTATCTGGCCCCTCCAGTGTAGGGGAGCTGGTGAGTGGAGGTGTTCCAGCAAGGAACAGAAGTAGCAGTGCTCCCACCTTCTGGGCACAGATGCAGAGGGTAGGGAAGAAGACGCAAAGCATTAAAAACAAAGCTGCTCGTTTCCCCATCTCAGTCACCAGGAAGCAAAACAAGAGAAATGCAGACAATGTGTGGTTTATAAACCGAATGTGCGTTACCATTTTAAGGCATCGCTAACTACTCAGCCCAGTGTGACTAAGAGGTGATCTATAGCATCTTTACCCAGCTACTAATTTAAAGGATATCTCTGCAGGATGTCCAGAGACTCCCTTAGTATTGACTCCAATCCAGAGAAACTCTATCGAGTCCTAGATATTGTGAAATGATACTGATTTCATTCTTCTTGGAAACGGCTGTATCTGCCCTTCCAGCATGAGCCCAGTGACTTCTTGAAACCTTGGATTATTGCTCTGAAAAGCAGTTTATCTCTCTATTACCAAGAGATTAAGTTTCTGTTGTTATGTGAATTTAGGCTTCTGAGCAAAGAAACCACTCATAATAACTCCATGGTTCAAAGATCCCCATTATGCCTGCCTTCATTCAGAGCATATCCTACTGGGCACCATTCGTGTGCTGTGGGTGTTAGTGTACATTGGTGGTAGGTTCTCCTGACAGTTTTGCAGAAAACTCTTGTTACAGTATTAGCTCTGCTTTTCTGAGCTTGATTTTTAAGCCGATTTCAGTAGTGATTTCACTGCTTTGAAATCCAGGGCTCCACTCTCCTTTTGATGGAGTTGATGTTCTGTCACATTTTCCCCACTTTGCTTATGAGCCTCATGCTTTTTGCATAGCAGGGATCATACAGGATCTCCATAGGAGCACTTGGGTGTCTGGTATGTTCAGGGTTTCTGTGGTGTCTGTGCAGGCTAAGCCCCATTCGAGATCACTGGGAACCGTACCTGCCCAGTGACGCCAGGGTCTTTTGAGCAAACCTCTCTGGAATTTGATTCTTATGACCAGGGTACAGAGTAGCTACTGAGGACCCACAGAGGAGATGAAGCGAGTGCGAGCTGAAATCTGTTCAGGAGGCTTCTTCTTCACCCCAGGAAAGGTCTCTTTGTGCTATGTCCCCCTGCCCTGGGCTCCTTGGCCATCAGCAGACCTGCTCTGGATGGAGTCAGTGGAGAGAGCGCTGCAATGTCATGCATCCATTAATACCATCCCAGTCAGCCTTTATTCACATGGAGTCACGAGCTTGCTTCAGCTGCCCTGCATCCCTGTGGCTCTGGTGTACTTCCTACAGCCTATCCCCATCTCTGGGTGGTGCACCAGCAGCCTTTCTCTTCCCATCCCTTAGTAGCACCTGCAGATGCACAGGACTGCTAGGCTTCCACAGGGTGAGTTTGAGAACTCCATGCTCTCACCAGTTTGTGGGCCCCCGGAGGCCATGCCTGTGCTTGTCTGCTCAGGGCAGATCCTTCAAAACTTCTGAACATGGATGTGCTGAATTTTCCCCAGACCTTCAGCCCTCCGGTGCGGCTTCCGGACAGCTGGGGTGCATGACACTGTGCCCTTAAAACTGGCATGGAGAAGTAGGTTGTTTTCCAAGCTCGACCCCACACCTCTTATATGCAGCCAGTAGACTCGGGTCTTACCCCTCACACCACTCTAGACCAAAAATCCCATGTTCTTGTCTCTCCCTTTATTATTCTCAGTAATATTTGGTGTTAGTTATTGATTTCTTATCTTTTTGGACACCAGGAATGTTGAAATTCAAACTTAGACCAACATTTTCAGCTGTGGTGGCCTAGTTTACAGCATCTGAAATCAGCCTACTTTTTTAGGTGCCTAAATATGGAGGTAGCTGGCTGAAATTTTTCATACAAAAGTTTTTCAGGGAAAAATTGCCAATTTTTCCATGTAAAGTTTCATCAAAAAAAGCCATGATCAAAATTTTCCATTTTTTGACATTTTCTGTCTTATTTACATTTTAATTGGAAATGTTATCAAAATATTTTTTAAATCATTGTTGACATTTAAAATGTAGTTTTTGGAACATGGAAAATTTTCAAACCAATTTTGGTTAAAAACAAACAAAAAAACCCAAAACTCAAATGTTGAGAAAAATGGAAATGGGATGTGTTTCTAACTCTGTGAAGTGGAAACAATGCCAGCATTTTTCACAAAATAACGCTCCCATTTCTCAGCCAGTTCTAGTTTCTAAGTTTGGAAAATTTTGGCCTGAGGTTGTAAGATTTGGGGCCAGAGTCTCAGCTGTTGTAAAGGTATTTGTCATTGGAGCTACTTCTGCTTGGTCCCGCTCCTGAATCCCTTCTCATTCCAAACTCTCTCAATTGTACAGATTTTGCTCTGTCCCTCATTTTGGGCTTCCTGCCCAATCATTTTAAAGTTCATGTTCTGCATTTTGGTCTGGAAGATTGAGACTGGAACCGCAATTTGGGCAACCGCTGCTCCCCATTTTAAGGAGAAACCCACAATACCAGCCAGCTTCTCAGAATTGCTAAAAGGCCTGAGGAATGCAATCATTAATGAAATCAGTGTTGTTGGAGTGGATTTAAAATGCAAGCCTTTCGAGGAATTCTGGGAGAACAGTAGTTGCACAGCTGGAATCTGACAGCTGTGAGATTTGGAATCTGTTGTTCCCAAGCTAACATCCCTAACACAAAAGCTGGGAGGTGAAGTTGGTTACAGCCGTCACTTGTGGAGATGACTTTGCCCAGCATATGTGAGAACAGAAATAGAGGGAGAGGGGCCAGTGAGGCATTTTGATCTTGCTGCGGTTGCACGGGCTTATTGAAATGGAACAAAACCAATGCCAGACTCTGTGCTCAGTGCACAGAGATGTGAATACACCTGCACCTCTGAACTAAAAAGATCGTTAATCAAAGTCATGGGAGCAGCTGAAATACCACATTCGTCAAGAGCTTTCTTGGATAGGAAAGGAAGGGGTTTGAGGAGGGGGTTGGACTAGATGACCTTCTGAGGTCCCTTCCAACCCTGATATTCTATGAATCTATGATTGAAAGGAAGGAAGTTAGTTAGCTTAGAGAGATGCTGTTAATTTCACTGCAGGAGCATTAGTGCCCATAGGTTCTTCAGGTTCTGTAGGCCCCACTGAGCCTGTGCCTTGGTGGCAAATCTCCTGTTAAAAGGCAAGTTTTCACGAGAGCTGAGCACCCTCACAGGTCCTCTTATGCTCAGTTGCATTTGCATGTGGGGGACTTTCCACTGTTCCTAACAGGAGCTGCTGGATGATCTGGAGCATTGGCTCCCAAACGTTTTAGTATGGTGGTTCCCTGACAGATATGTTAAGGCTTGATGGCGCCCTGCCAGCAAAGACCGTTTCTTTTCCCAACTCAGGACATCAGAGTTAGGATGGTTTTGTGACTTTCTTCAATTCTATACAGTTTATTAATGATATAATCAGATGTAATCTGAGGGTTTAAAACCATAACTAGAAAATACAGCTTTTGGGGTGTGTTGGGACACAGTCTGGGCTTGTTGTGAGAAGAGCAGGCCTGTTTCGAATGGCAGAGCTGCACACTGTTTGGTTGAATCTCTGATAGCACCGGACGTAAGTTGTTTTTGAAGTTTGGGTTTCACAGGAGCCATTGCTGGAAACCCTGGCTCTGAGATCCCTGGAAGTGAATGGAAGTAGCACTTTCAGAGTTTCAGCACTGAGTTCTTCATACTCTCCTTTAACAGAGATTCAGGATTCCTGGCTTGTTAGATTTGAAAACTTGTTCTTCGGTGTGTGATCAGTTGACAGTTTTAAGATACACCTATCTCTCTATCAACCCTCTTCCCCTCTCTGCTGCTACCAGCACTGGAGGCCTCCCTCTGCACCAGCAGGGCCTCTCAGCTGAGAGACTTCCAGCTGCCTGCTTCCCCAGCAAGGAGTCTCAGCTGAAGGCCCGTTGGCAGAGTGGAGGCCACAGAGAGGCCACCAGCAGCAGCATAAGACACAGACCCATTAATAGAACACTGGTGATTTTTAAGCCTAGTTTAATAGTCTTTTAATTAGAAAAAAACTGGCTTAGCAATTACATTTTTGCCCAGACATTCGTGGCTCCACCGTGAACCCTTTGTAGCTCCTCAAAGGATCCCCAACTCACAACTTGGGAAGCACTGGTCTGGAAAACATGGGCCCAGTGTGGGTGCTTGGCCCATGTGTTAGGAGCACTTGTGTCTGAATGGCTGAGTTTGAGGTTGGCATCTGGTTTATATTGCCCAACCCTAGTTCTCCATTTACTCTGCTCCTGCTAATCCCTGGGCTTGTTTAGGGTTGCCTGGTGGAGCAGATCTGGGTGCTGTCAGATAGCTTAGGAAAAGCCCTGTGGGGAATATGGCTAGTGATTGGTGCTTGGTTCTTAGCTCTTTTCAGGAAGGGGCCTTGTGAAGAAAAAAGTTCCTGAGCATTCTCTGTTTGGGAGAGGCAGCCTCTCCTAGCTGGGCTCCCCATTAGCCATCGAGCCATGCCCACCGCTCCTCTTCTGAGTCAGCCGCTATCGTTGAGAACGATCATGGCCAGATACAGTCTACAGCTGGAATCTCTGCTGCTCCTAGGGTTTGAAGACACTTCAGCACTTGCCATACTGAAAACACAGAGGGATAAGCCCTGTCCCCATTGAACTCCATGGGAGTTTTGGCAATTGACTTTGATGGAGCCAGGATTTCACCCTAAAACTTTAATGGTCGCAGGTCCCCCACTAAGCCTGGTCCCACAAGAGTGGTGTAAGGGAGCAGAAGTCTTGCCCTGGTATGGGGAAGAGAATGCTGATTGATTCTATTAACTTATTTATTCAGCTACTTATTTTTTAGAGTGGGTTTTCCCTGAGCTTCTAGTATACATGTCAATTAAGGACAGCAAGCTCCCGTTGAAATGAGCACAACTGCACAGGGTCTCGACTGTAGAATCTAGGAGAGAGACTGAAGCATGGTCTACACTGCGGAGTTAGGTTGAAGTGAGGCAGCTTATGTCAACCTAATTATGTCAGTGTCAACACTACACCCTTGCTCCCAGCGATGTAAGTGCTCTACCACACTGACATAGTACCTCCACCTCTACGAGAGGTGCAGGACTTATGTCGGTGTAGTTCGGGTGACACAGTGTCCGTGTAGACATTGTGTTACTTAAGTCCGCTGTTGGCTGTCATTCTTGTCAATTTCACAGCTCCTGGGCTCACAGCTGGAGCCCCCTGCCCTGCACTCTGGAGTGACTGCAGCAGCTGTGGGCCCCTTGCTGGACTCAATTTCACAACTTGGAGCCTACCAGCCTTTCTTGTCAATTTCACAGCTTCAGCTGTGAGCCCTGCTGCTGCTCTGAGCCTGAGGCAGCCATGAAATTGACAAGAAAGGCTCCCTGCTGTGAACCGGGTGCCAGGCTCACAGCTTAGGCTGTCACCTCAGGGTGGGTGGGGGGCTCCAGCTGTGAGCCCAGCTGCTGCCTGGGCTCTCCGCTCCCTGTTCTCCAGCTGGGCTTCCAGGTCCCCAGTGTGGAGCTCCATGCAGAGCTGAGAGCCTGGGCTCTCAGCCCACCAGACTGCCCCTCTTAAGTAGGTGCATGCACTCCTGATGAGGGCGCGCACCACCGACTGGAGGGTAGCATGGACATGAAAAACCGCAGTAATTACCATTGTGGCTGTAAGTTGACCTAAGCTAGGTTGAGTTAACTGTGTAGTGTAGACAAACCCTGATTCCCAATGCTGTGTGTCTAGCTTTAAAGTCCCACGAGACATCACCCCATTCAGTAGGAAAAGTATCAGTACCTTGACTGAGCAGGGCAAAAGGCCGCCTTTTCCATTTCCTTCTCTGCAAGCAAGGGAGGAATCTGGAGGACTTTCCACTCCCATTGTAGCACATTGGGGGAACTGGAAACAGATGTTGGTGTTCATAGACCTGCGTGAATGCTGCAGTGTCCACTCTGCAAGGAGTTACAGCTGCAAACTGTGGTGCTCTCACTTTGCCACTTTATGTATAATTCCCTTCCCCATCCTAAAGACCTGATGCTTTCCCATTTTTGATTAATGGATTTTATTGTTTAATTACATTTGATTGATTGGCCCTGTCAGACATTCCCAGGGTATATTTACATAGTGAAGCATAATTACTTAACCTCTGATTTGCTGGGTTGTGGGGATCCATGTAGCTCCATTGACATCAGTGGCATTGGCTAACTTATACCAACTGGGGATCTGCCCCATGGCGATTCTCATTCCCCAGGCTCCGCCCCCTCGCCCCCCCCCCCGAGTCATTTTGCTCTGGTTTCCCAAAATGTAAAGGGCAGCGAGTCAATAAGTGGCTGTTTTTTTGGTTAACTTTAATGTTTATGAAAATCAGAACTGAACTGTCCAGATACAGGTACAATGTCAGTGTCCCCTACGCTCTGCTCCTCAGCTGTACCTCAGTCCTGACCTGAACCACTCCTTTCTGGCCCAATACTGGCGACCACCCCCCTAGCGTATCACCACTACTGCTTTCTAACCTGCTAGGCCCCGGCCTGTTCCCTCCGTAGGCCTTTCCAAAGCAGCCGTGCCCAGTCGTGAGTAATTTTGTGGTATGATGTGGACAAACGTCCATTGCGCACCAAGAGTTGAGGTCCAGCACCATAGCTTTGCTTGTGACCAAAGACTCATTTGAAACCAGGTCTCCAGGGGAGGGAGTCTGGTGCAGCAGCTCCCTGTATCACGGTGGCTTCTGTTTGGTCTCTGCTAAGTAGGAAGATTTATGCAATATTTGGGAGGAACCAGTCTTCAGAGAGTGGGCTAAGGAGTATACACATCTGCCATCCATTAAACATTATAAGTAAGGCTAAGATTTAGTCATGGGCACTTTTAGTAAAAGTCATGGGCAATAAACAAAAACTCATGGCCCCCTGACCTGTCCATGACTTGTACTATACCCCTGACTAAATCTTTGGTGTTCTGGAGGGGGGTCTCTGGGGCACCTGCTGGTGCTGAGGGGAGGCTCCAGGGCCCCCCCGGGAGCGGGGCAGCCCAGGACCACGTCAGCCACAGCTGGTGGGGTGTGGTCTGGGACCACTGCCGCTGGTGGGGGACAGCCCGGTACCACCGCACTGCTGCTGGCGGGGGCCTGTGACCACTGCGCTACTGCTGGCAAGGGGCGGCCCAGGACTGCCACTGTTGCGGGGGCAGTGCAGCTGGCCCTTGGGCTGCCTGAGGTCCTCGGGCGGCCCTGGGGTCAGGTGCACCTGCCGGCTGCAGAAGTCATGGAGATCCCAGAAAGTCATGGCATCCGTGACTTCCATGCCTGCCGTGACAGACTCACAGCCTTAATTATAATTACTGAGACCCTTAAAGAGAAGTACCAACCCCCATCCCTGGAAGCTTTTGTTTTCACTTGAAACTCTCAGAGTATTCCAGAGCTCTGCACATCCATCAGGAAAAGTGCTTCTCCAGGGAGCCCCTCACCTAGGGAAATTAGGGGAAAATGGCAGCTTTCATTATGATGCCCTTTGTGGAAAACGGACCTTTCTTATAAAAGGATTTTGAAAAGCTTATGAAAGTTTTGCACTAAGCCACTACAGTAAAGCTTAATAGAGAACCGAGGTCACAGGCAGAGAGTGAAATACCTTTTTCACTGGGCTTTACACACCAACTTTGTGAGAGTTTGTGCATGGCACAAATGGAACCTGTGTAAGCAATAATGCATGTCATACCAGACCCCTCAGACCCTCAGTGCGTTGTGAGGTTGCAAGTGTTTGGCATGACTGCACCTGCTGGAGTTCTTGTGAAATAGGTTAATGGCTAGATCCTGTTTCTGCCTAATCATGTCTTCATCAGCCAATCATCTTGCTCTTTTAGAACAGCTTTCTGGGTTAAGGCCAAGGACGGGGACTTGAGAAACCTGGGATTTGTTCCCAACTCAGTGCCAAGTCGCTTAATTTTCCTTAGTTTCCCCATTTGCAGTAGGGGGATAATGGTATTCCCGGGGCTTGTAGGGCTACATTGTGAGAATAAATTCATTTGTACGGTGCTGTTTTGAATTCCATGGATGGAAGATGCTTTGCAAGTGCAAAATGTTAGGATAATAACCATTTTATTGATATGTTCATGTATGGTTCTCTATCATTGGTTTTTCTATCGTGCCCATCACCATGGTATCTAAGCATCACACAACAAAAATATTAAAGCAAACGAGCAGGTTGCAGGGAGCTATCCAGCTACCAAGGGATCCAAATTCGTGACAACAAACAGCTACACAATTCATACAATACCCCTGAGCAGATTAGAGAATATTTATGTGGTGCAATCCAGCCCCTCCTGCATCTCATCTCATCTCATCTCAAGCGGAGAAGCTTCCTGCTTTCTCATTGTCTTGAGCCGAACAGTGTATACAGAACCATTGCAGATTCATTTTTCAAGTGCATGTGTGTGCATCTGTGTTGCACGTTCGGGATGAGGGATACTCGATAGTTTGTCTCAGCAGACATGCTGGGTGGACATAAGGTTGGGTTTGATATAGATATTACGCTTTATGCATGGTCAGACTCTTTAGACTGGCTGCTAGCACGGCTCTGCCTTTTACTTCAGATATCTTTGAAATCCCGTTGGGGGAATATCATTTTCTTTTCACTCAGCAGAGAAGAGCTGGATTCTCGCTGAGATCTCTCAGGTGGGCTTTATTACAATACAGTTGAAGAACCAGATCAGAATGGGCATGAGATACGTATAGTTAGATAATTACTAAGTTCCTGATCCAGAGCCCGTTGAAGTCAGTGGGGGGGTCTTTCCATTGACTTCAGTGGGATGTACATTGGGCCCTAAGCAGTGAGCATGCATGGAGGCATGAGCTGAAGTCAGCAAAGCCCCCAGAGGTGGAATATTACCAGATCAGAGCATTTCCTGTTGGAAACTTTGTTTCCTTCCTCTACTGCCCATTCTTGTAGCCAGCATCTCATATCTCAGGGAAGGATGGGGGGATCCAGTTCTCATAAATAGGAACCTGCAAACTTCCTCCCATTGCTAGAACCAAACCGGAATGCCGGGACTTTTGGAAGGGTCTCAGATGTTGGGTTACCTTCCCTCCTCTCTGACATTTCATGTTCACAGCCGTGCCTCTGCTTCACTGAGTTCCGCTGGCTGCATCAGTTATGCCCCCCAAAGCTACTCTCTCAGCAGGCTCACCAGCCAGAAGCAAGAGGAGCCGTAAACCTCACAAGAGAATCTGTTCTCATGAAATGTCCAGGCAGATTTTGCCGACCTAGGGTGGGGGATTAGAAGAAGCATCTGATTCAGCCATCACCAACCAAATGCAACATGCCTGCCTGAGACCATTTTGAGTCGCACTGTGGCAGCTGTGCACCCTAAATCCTTCGACACTATGCACAAGGTATTGCCTTTACGCTCTAGAGGAGTTTTCATAAACAGTGTGCGCGTGTGTGTTCTGTAATGTCGGGATATATATTTGTGGGTGTGTCTCACACAGCAAAACCCTCGTGTAGGAGTGCACTTGCTTTCTGAAAAGCAAACCAACCTTTTGCCAGAATTGCATTTGAAACAATTTGGGACTTTCCAGTGTAACTGTAAGCTGCTTCCACTTTGTGTATTGTTTGTATGTATGTATATGTATTTTATTTATTTATTTATTTATTTATTTATTTGCATTTTACTTTTGTAAACCACCAGCCCATTGAAAAGCCGCTGGGCCCTGTGTGAGTTTGGGCGGGCGGGCGGGGGGGGACAACCCTTCTTTTAGGGAAAATATGTGTTTGGCTGCAGTCGACAGCAATCCAGACACACTTGCCCAGAGAGTTACCCAATTCCCACACCCTTAGCATTGACTTCACCTGGCCCCAATCTTTCCTGTACAACATGGTAAAACACGGTGAACAAAAATCATGTAAACCCCAATGCAAAATAAGACCCCAGGACCCTTTTTCTAGAAACCTGGGAGCAGTTGGCTATTCTGATCCTTCCCCCATTTCCTCTTATTTGTTTATTGCCTGTGTCTTCCTTTGTTGTTTTTTTTTTCTTTTTGACTCATGCTGTATTTGAGTCAAAGTTGCCAATTTCCGGAGATGATGAGAAGAGCAGGAGCATGTGGGTGTTACTTTGGAGAAAAGAAAAAAAAATCGGGTATTCTGCTGCCGCGGTGGGAAAATCAGAAGGAAGAAAAGATGAAAGCTGGTTTTGCAGAGTGCCTTAAACAAAAATGACTTTAATGAGTAGGGGGTTCTGACTCTTCTGTCTTTGGATGTTGTTAAAAACTCAAACAGATGTTGCATTTCGCTTCTCTGGGATTAAACAAACAGTTCAGTATGTGTTTGAAAAAAGTGTCCTCTTTGAGTGTTTGTGAGTTTTCTTAAAGGTGTGGTACCATGTGCCTCTTGGAGTGAACTATACAACGGCAGCAGATGCAAGGAAAATATCCATCTTTAAATAAACTCCTGTGTGGTCTGAGAAGAGAGAACTGTGGCGATCAGCAAGGAGCCAACCTAAGGGTGCATCTCATTTAGCTTTGTGAAATGTCCTTGGTTGGCTTTGCATGTCCCAACCATTAGGTGTCTCCATTTTATCCCATCTCCCAGCACACGGTTGATGGTCTAAACGGCGGTTGGTTTGCAAGGCTTTCTGTTGGGGAGTTTGATCTTGCAAGACCTAATTCAAACCAGACATGGCTTGCATTCAGCTCCTGTTTTAGCCAAAACCTGAAAGTTCAGGTACCAAAGGGCTTCAGATGCCATGTTCTGGTTTTAGTCCATCTCTCATGGCTAATATGGGGCTCTGTCCCTGTCTCTTGGTTGGTTACATTAAGGGGGTTGGTTACTGAGTTACATCTTTTTCTGAAACAGGACTAGAAAGAAGAGTCTCTTCGAGCTGAGGTCCTCAAAGTGGCTGCAAATTCAAGGAGGGGCTTTGTGAATGTAGGTCCCACTTTGGCAAAAACACTTCCACACATGCTTCAGTGTATGCATGTGTGTAGTCCCACTGCAGTCAATGTGACTACTCATACTTAACGTTAGCCAGGTGCTTAAGTTCTTTGCTGAATCAGGACCAAATCCTGAGACCTTATTCCTTGGCAAATGGTTGTGGAATTGTGCTGAAGCTCTCGAGGACCAGAATTGACTGGGAGGGTCTCAGTTGCAGGCCCTGATGGACAGCCCTCCTTATACTTTTCTGTACCTCCTCAGGGAACTCACTGCTCCTAGACTCCTGCCATAGGCTATTGGAGGCAGTGCTAGGATGGACTCATAGACTCATAAGGTATGTCCATACTATG